TTTTTTTTTAATGTTAAATTTGGAAAAGAGGAGAAACTATTGTTTTTAGATATAAACTATAAAAACAAAGCATGACTAAATATTTTATGATGAATCTCTTTAGGAAATAAAGTTATCAGAATCTTAGGGGCAAAGAGATTTTAATATTTAGCAAAAGAGGACATACAAGAGGGTTTCAAAAGTTTGAGAACCATGGCCTGAAATGCTTTCCCAAAACTACCCTTTTGTCACTTTAAGAAATTTATCAAGGATCTTAAAATTATGCAATTCTATTTTAACAAAGAATTCTCAGTAAATATGCCAAAATGGCTGAAATATTTATCTCAGATTTATTTGTAGTTGCTAGAGTCTAGGAAAAAATCTATGTTCACAAGAGGGAAGTGAATAAATTATATATGTGTGTGTGTGTCTGTGTGTGTGTATCCCCAAAAATACTATCCAGCAATTAAAAATAATATTTTGGAAAAATATTTAATGCCATAGTAAAATGCTCAGGATGAAAATAAAGTACAAAGTGGTCATGATCCAATATTTAAAGGAAAAAGACATGTTTAGAACATGAAAAAAACTTGGATTCAGTACAACTTTGGAGAGCAACTTGGCAGTGTCTGAAAAATTGAGACTGTGCAGACTCTACAGCCTAACATTAATATGATTGATACACCAATAAATAAATAGTTCTATAATAATATGATAGAATACCATTCAGATGTTAAAAATTAACAAATTGGATCTACATGTCTGAAACAGGGACAGATCTATGCATCTCAACTGAGATAACTCAAACAGTGTTGAATTTTAAAAAGCAAGTTGCAGAATGATATATATGTGTAATAGTATTTATATAAAAATTTTGAAACACATATACCAATACCAAATATTGTTTACATATACATATACAGGGAATAAACATATAAAAGCAAAGCCTATAAGAATGAGGACCAGATTTATGATGGTGGTTGCCTTTAAGATGGAAGGGAAAGAAACAGGACTAAAAAGAGAGATGGGTGGGGGAGGGAGATAGTATTTAGCTCTATCTGTAATGGAGTTTTATTTTTAAAAATAAGCAAAACTGACAAAATGCTTACATTGTGAATTTGGAGTAGTGGTTTATTGTTATAATAATTTCTTTTTAACATGTGCTTTTAAAATTTTCTAAAAACAACGATTAAAAGAAAGTACATTCAGGTTTGCAGTAGTTATTCAACACTGAGATTACAGTCCAATTTAATTTTCACCTTCAAACATCTCCGAATTTTCCAAATTCACAAATGAATGTTGAGGAAATAGGTGCCACTTACAGATAAATAAATGATAACTATGTAGATACTCGACCTCCACTCTGTGAGGAATCCCTAAGGCCCTTGCAATTGAGCTGCTTCTAGAAGGCTGAAGTATCAGCAAAAAAAGGATGGCCGCCCCATCCCCCCACCCCTCTTCCCCAGGGACAAAAGGAAGTTGAGGGCTGGCTGCCTGCAAAGTGTAGAGATATAAAAGGGCCATGTCCCCTTTTGTAGCAACGTGGATGGAACTGAAGAGTGTTATGCTAAGTGAAATAAGTCATACAGAGAAAGACAGATACCATACGTTTTCACTCTTATGTGGATCTTGAGAAACTTAACAGAAGACCATGGGGGAGGGGAAGGAAGAAAAAAAAAAGAGGTTAGAGAGGGAGGGAGCCAAAACATAAGAGACTCTTAAAAACTGAGAACAAACTGAGGGTTGATGGCGAGTGGGAGGGAGGTGGGGGTGGGTGATTGGTATTGAGGAGGGCACCTGTTGGGATGAACACTGGGTGTTGTATGGAAATCAATTTGACAATAAATTTCATATTAAAAAAATAATAAAAAATAAAAACAATCCCCTCCTCAAAAATAAATAAATTAATTAATTAAAAAAACAGCCATGTCCTGGGAAGGGAGGCAGGGGCATTAGTCTAAGTCAGTGGGTCTCAAACTTGAGCAGGCATCAGAATCACCTGGAAGGCTTCTTGAAGAACAGAAGGGCCCCCAAGGTTTCTAATTCATTAAGTCTGGGGCCAGGCCTGTGAATTTATATTTCTGACAAGTTCTTGGGCATTATTGACAGTAATGATTGTCCCAGCACCATGCTCTGAGAATTGCTGGTCTAAGCAAAACCCAGCCATCAGATATTTCTATTTTTCATTACTGAAATATGAGAGAGATATTTGGCAGGAATCAAGCCAATGTTATTATCTGGTGGATACACAAATTACTTAATGGAGCAAACCAGCCAGTCTTGGGGAAGTTGGAGTTGCATGCAAGAGCAGGCAAACAAAGAAGAAGGAGAAGGAGAAGGAGAAGGAGAAGGAGAAGGAGAAGGAGAAGGAGAAGGAGAAGGAGAAGAAGGAGAAGAAGAAGAAGAAGAAGAAGAAAGAAGGAAGGAAAGAAAATAGGCATCAAATGATCAGAAAGCTCAAAAACAGAAGTAGGGAGAATGAAAGCCAGTTCAATCTAATGATCACAGACCACTAAAGAGATTTCATTAGGAAAAGCAAATTAATAAAATGAGCATGAAAAAGGACTGTTAAAAAAAAAAAAACAAAACAGGTTCAATAATCAGGGTCTGTCACTATTTGCCAAAACTGGGAGTCCAGGATAGCACAAAATTCATGCCTCTTTCCCATCTTCCACTAGCACTGGGAACTCTACTGGACCGGACTGACCCTTCCTTGCTCTCTCCATTCTTTCTCATCCTTCCTCCCTCTTTCCTTTATATTCTTCCTCACTGAACAGCTCTTTATTGCCAAACATTATACTGGACTATGGATAAAGAAGGGTCCCACCATCGTTGTACTGCAGCACATAGCGTAACACCTCGTACATAATAGCTGTTGACTAACTGTTGAATGAAACGTCAATAAACTCATAAATGATCAACAGGGGTCATAGTTAAAGGTACAGTGGATGGGAGACAAGTAGGTCATTTCTGTGAGAAACATAGACACAATGGAGTGGCCCCAGCAATGCAAGTTAGCTTGAGACACCACTGGGAATGCTACTACTTGGCACTTTTCCTTATACCCCACATTTTTCCCACTAAATTTTTGCTACTTTTCCCATTGCCTGATGATGTTTACCACACCCATGCCCATGGTTTGTGACTTTCAGCTAAATAAGTATATGCTTCATTGCAACACTTTCTATCCGTCTCAGCCCAAGCTGCAAATAGAGCTTATGCCTGAGTACATGATGCCTTTTAGCATAAGGCATTCTCCTGTGAAGAAAGCTCAAAAAATGTCCAGAGCTAACTTAATTATGTAAGTTTTTTAGGAATGTAGGTAAAGTAGTTATGTGTCTATTTACACTGTTTCATTCATTAAGTTATGCGTACATATTTTAAACATCTAAAATATAAATCCTTTTATTTAAATTTTTTGAAGTAATTTTAATATTTTCATATGAATCTTAAGTCTTTTAATACAGACCTTTCCAGAGCATAACACCTTCACTTTCAGTTAAGTTGTTTGAGACACAGCATTTTTTTTAATCTGTGGGTGATGCTGTCACTGGAAATTTTTATCACAAGCCACAAGTCCCACTTATATAACACTAGAATAATTATTTTCATTCATCTTTTAGTAAGTTTCATGAGTCCCACAGTATAATCACACATTATATATTAAATTGATTATAGAAAGGCTTGTATACCACAAGAAATAACACATTCTCCATTAGGAGTAAGTACTAAATCTTCTAAAAATTTATTTGCCATCTTTTCTTATTTAACAGATCCCTTAAGATGACCTTTTACAAGCTTTCCACCCTAGCCCTTATTGCTATTGTTTCAAGCCAGTATGTCTTCCCCAAGCAGCACCTTGTGACTTAATAAAGGAATTAACAGAGTACCCCGTAATGGATGGGAATTTGTAAATCTTAACTATAAAGCAACTCCCACTCTTATATGCAAGAACAGGGGGGTTGGGGGGGAGGGGTAGGGAATCTCTTATATTTGGAAAGGTACTGTAGATTTCCTTTTAATTTTTTTCTTTAAAAAAATTTTCTTCTTCAGGCTAATAAAATGATTAGAAAAGAAAAGTAAATCATAAGAATATTTACCATTAAAGAGTGAGAAAATGTAACTGGATTAACACACAACTTTCCAATTGTCAGAACCTAAGAGGTGATATATTTTTCTTGTGAGTAAGAAGGAGGTTATGTGTGTGTGTGATATGCCATGATTATGGGTCTATCTTTAATAATTAGAAAGTTACATGTGGTGAAGAGCAAGCAAGTTGATTTAACTAGAGTGAGTGGAGCAAGTTGGAAGAAGAAAAGATGAATTTGACATGTGATGTTCACGGCAGAGAACATCAAAGTATTTTGGTACACGTAGCAGTTTATTCCATTTTTAAAAGTGTGCAGCTTCTCTGTTTTTCAATATTAAATATACAGTTTACACATTTACATATGTTTCAGGCTACATTATTGGAATTTTGAAGACATGAAAACATCAGATGAACCAACCTGCAACATCTTGGATTCAGATTGGAAGATGAAGAGAAAGTTTAAAGAATGTGGCCTCTAAAGGCGGGTAGTACCTGGAAATATTAACCGACTCACACTGTAAAAATGAGACCGGTTTCTAGACAATAGAGGTTATTTTAGTCTGACATCAAGGTTCAAGACAAAATGTTGAACTAAAAACTTTACACTCCTCCCCTCCCCCACTTCAGACAGGTACCAGCATTGGTGAATATGATTTTCCTTAGTCAGAAGCACTCATTTTTACCCATGTAGACCATCCTTAGGAATTAAATATTGGTTATTTAATGTAGATTATAATGGGAAACTGATTTTTTCCACAATGGCAGATTTCAAGGACTTGGTTCCAAACTGAGCCGAAGCTTCCCAATGCATTTTGTACAGTCTGGGAAAAACTGTGCTGCACTGGCCATTTTTGAAGGCCATCATGCCCTGTAATATAAGGATATCATCTTATTGCTGATATCTTTGGAAAGTCCCAAGCAGACACAGAAAATGAATGGAGGCAAGGACTGTGACGGAGGGGACAAAGATGGAGGTCTTCCAGCTATACAAGTTCCTGTGGGTTGGCAGCGTCGTGTGGATCAAAATGGAGTGCTTTATGTCAGGTGAGCCTTGTTATTATCCGTGTCACCTCCAAGTTTGCAATCCCCAAATTAAGGAGGTAGAGTCTGTTCTTTTGAGGAACAAAATACCGTCACTGACAGCACCTCACATAAATTTGAATAAATGACCTTCCTGCTAGAAATATTTGAGCGTTTTATTCTGTACTATTTTGCAATGTAAATTGCCTTAGGTTACAAGAGAAAATTTTTATGCATTACTTGTGTTTATATAAGGTGTCATTCTGTTTATCTCTGTAACAAGGATAAGGAAAAATATGAAGATTTCTAAAAGAAACATATAAGCATCTTTACCACATTCATAGGAAAATGTAAAATACTGGAAATAAACCCAATATTTCTTGACTGTATTATTCTGTCCTTCATCGTGCTTCCGCTGGCTTTTCTGATATAAGGTTGAGTGTTTTTATCTATAGACAGTTTCAATCATTAGTCTTCTTAATTCCTGATATTAACTAAAAATAATTTCCCTAATTTTTTCTGCACAGTTTTAAATCTATTCCATTGCATATAACAGTAAAAGAGAAAAAGTCATGATGGAGATGGCTGTTCATATCACAAGTTAAAATCATACAAATAAAATGCAAATGCCTGCTTTTTAAAATTTTGGTGGCATATATCTTGTGTACAGCAAGTTGAATGGAATAACTGAACTGTTGCCAAGAAGTTTCAGGGTTTTCTTAACTGATATACAATATTATATTAGTTTCATTAGTACAACATAGTGATTTGACATTTGTATACTTTATGAAATAGTCACCTCAATAAGTCTAGTTACCATCTATTATCATACAAATTGTTACACTGACTATTCCCTATGCTGTACATTACCTCCCTATGTCTAACATGTTTTATAACTGAAAGATCTATTTTGTCCATCCTCCCATTCATCTCCCTCTGGCAACCACCAGTTTGTTTTCTATATCAATGAGTCTGTTTCTGCTTTGTTTGGTTTGGTCATTTGTTTTGTTCTTCAGATTCTACATATAAATGAAGTCATATGGTATTTATCTTTCTCTGACATATTTCACTTAGATACTACCCTCTAGGATCAACCATGTTGTCACAAATGGCAAGATCTCATCCTTTTTTTTTTTATCACTGAGTAATATTCCCGTGTGTGTGTGTGTGTGTGTGTGTGTGTGTGTGCATGTAAAAATCTCCTTCAGGGGCGCCTGGGTGGCGCAGTCGGTTAAGCGTCCGACTTCAGCCAGGTCACGATCTCACGGTCTGTGAGTTTGAGCCCGTCAGGCTCTGGGCTGATGGCTCAGAGCCTGGAGCCTCTTTCTGTGTCTCCCATTCCTCTCTCTCCTCCCCACCATTCATGCTCTGTCTCTCTCTGTCCCAAAGATAAATAAATGTTGAAAAAAAAATTTAAAAAAAAAAAAAATCTCCTTTGTCCATTCATCTGTCTATGAACACTGAGGGTGCTTCCATATCTTGGCTATTGCAAATAAAGCTGCAATGAACATAGGAGTGCATTTGTCTTTTTGAATTAGTGTTTTCATTTTCTTTGGTTAAATATCTAGAAGTGGTATGCATGGCCAATGCAGTGGAATTGCTAGATTGTATGGTATTTCTATTTTTAATTTTTTGAGGAAGCTCCATGCTTTTTTCCAAACTTGCTGCTCCAATTTACATTCTTACCAATGGTGTGCAACGGTTCCCTTTCTCCCATCCTCACCAATACTTGTTATTTCTTATCTTTTTAATCACAATCATTCTGACATGTGTGAGAGGATATTTCATTGTGGTTTTGATGTGCATTTCCCTGCTGGTTAGTGATATTGAGCATTTTTTCATACGCTTGTTGGCCATCTGTATGTCTTTGAAAAATGTCCAGTCAGGTCATCTGTACATTTTAAAATCTGAATGTTTGATTTTTTCATATTAAATTGTAGGAGTTCTTTATATGTTTTGGATGTTAACCCCTTATTGTATATACCCTTTGTGAATATCTTCTCTCATTCAGTAAGTTGCCATTTTGTTTGTGGATGGTTTACTTCACTGTGTAAAAAGCTTTTTAGTATGATATAGTCCCATTTGTTTATTTCTGCTTTTGCTGTCCTTGCCTGAGATGACTGATCCAAAAAAATATTGCTAAGATGTCAAAGAGGTTACTGCTTATGTTTTCTTCTAAGAGTTTTATAGTTTCAGGGCTTATATTCTAGTCTTCAATTTTGAGCTTATTTTTGTGTGTGGTATAAGAAAGTGGTACAGTTTCCTTGTTTTGCATGTAGCTGTTTAGTTTTCCCAGTAATGCTTATTGAAGAGATTGTCTTTTCCCCATTGTACACTCTTGCCTTCTTTGTTGTTCATTAATTGACCATATAACCATGGGTTTATTTCTGGTCTTTCTAATTTGTTCCATTGATCTCTGTGTCTGTTTTTGTGCTAGTTCTGGTACCATATTGTTTTTGATTACTATAGCTTTGTAGTTTAGTTTGAAATCAGGATTGTGATTACCTTCAGCTTTGTTCTTCTTTCTCAAGATTGATTTGGCTATTCAGGGTTTTTTCTCCTTTTTCATTTGTCACTTTATTCATTTTGATCCTCCCTTTTTTTTTCTTGATGAGTCTAGCTAAGATTTTGTTTATCTTTTCAAAGGACCAGCATTTAGTTTCATTGGTCTTTTCTATTTTTTTTTTTATTGTTAGTCTCTATTTCATTTATTTCCACTCTGATGCTTATTATTTCCTTCCTTCTACTAATTTTGGGTTTTGTTTCTTCTTTTTCTAGTTCATCTAGGTTTAGGATTAAATTCTTTTTTGGAATTTTTCTTGCATCTTGAAGGGCCTGTATCATTATAAACATTCCTCTTAACACTTCTTTTGCTGCCTCCCATAGGTTTTAGAATGTTGTGCTTATATATCTCAAAAGATTTAGAATTTTTCTTGTGTTTTGAAGCAGGCCTGTATCATCACAAACATCCCTTTTAACACTTCTTTTGCATCCGTAGGTTTTAGAATGTTGTGCTTATATATCTCAAAATATTTTTCGGTTTCTTCTTTGATTTCTTCATTGGCCATTGGTTGTTCAGTAGAATGTTGTTTAGTCTCCACGTATTTGTGGTTTTTCAATTTGTCTTCTTGTGATTGGTTTCTAGTTTTATACTGTTGTGGTTTGAAAGGTGCTTGATATGATTTAAATTTGTTGAGACTTATTCTGCAGTCAAATACGATGTATCCTGAAGGATGCTCCATGTGCACCTGAGATGGAATGTTCTGTACGTATGTAATAAGTCCATCAGGTCTAGTGGGTCATTTAAGGCCAGTGTTTCCTTACTGATTTTCTGTCTGGATGATCTATCCTTTGATGTAAGTGGGGTGTTAAAGTCCCCTACTTTTATAGTATTACTGTCAGTTTCTCCCTTTGTGTCTGTTAATATTTGCTTTATATATTTAGGTGCTACTATGTTAGGTAAATAAATATTTACAAATGTTATGTCTTCTTGTTGAATTGATCCCTTTATCATTTTGTAAATTTCCTTTTTTGTCTCTTGTTGCAGCCTTTCTTATAAAGTCTATTTTGTGTGATATAAGTATTGCTACGCCAGTTTGTTTTTGTTTCCATTTGCATAGAATATCTTTTTTTATCCCTTCAATTTCAGTCTGTGTGTGTGTTTAGATCTGAAGTAAGTCTCTCATAGGCAGCATATAGATGGGTCTTGTTTTGTTTCTTTTAATCCATTCAGCCACCCTATGTATTTTGATTGGAACACTTAGTCCATTTACACTTAAAGCATTTATTGATAAGTGTGTACTTATTGCTATTATGTTCATTGTTTTCTGGTTGTTTTTGTAGTTCTTCTGTTCCTTTCTTCTCTTCCTCTCTTCCTCTGTGATTTGATGATGTTCTTTAGTTTTATGTTTGGATTCCTTTCTTTTTATTTTCTTGCGTATCTATTTTAGGTTTTTGGTCACCATGAGGTTCATATATAACATCCTATACATACAGAAATCTATATTAAGTTGGTGGTCGCTTAAGTTTGAAAGCATTCTAAAAGCATTACATGTTTGCTCTTCTCCCCACATTTTATGTTTTTGATGTCATGTTTTGCATCTTTTTATTTTGTGCATCTTTTCATTATTGTAGATATAATTGATTTTACTACTTTTGTCTTTTAACCTTCATACTAGCTTTACAAGAGGTTGATCCACTACCTTTTCTATGTTTGCCTATACCAGTGGGATTTTTTTCTTTCATATATTTTCTTATTTCTAGTCATGGCCTTTTCCACTTTCCCTTTAATAGGTCTTTTTTTTTTTTAAGTTTAATTACTTATTTTGAGAGAGAGAGAAAGAGAGAGAGAGAGAGAAGGGGACAGGGCCAAGAGAGAAAGAGAGAGAGAATCCCAAGCAGTCTCCATGCTGTCAGTACAGAGCCCAACACAGGGCTCTAACTCACCAATGTGAGATCAGACCTGAGCTGAAATCAAGAGTCAGACGCTTAACCTAGGGAACCACCCAGGCGCCCAGTTTAACAGTGCTTATAAAGCAAGTTTAGTTGTGATTAACTCCTTTACCTTTTGCTTGTCTGGGAAAATTTTTATCTTCCCCTTCAGTCCTGATTGATAACTTAGCCGGATAAAGGATCCTCGGTTGTAAGCTTTTTCCTTTCGCTACTTTGAATATATCATGTCACTACCTTCTGGCCTGAAAATTTTCTGCTGAAAATTCAGCTGATAGTCTTATGGGGATTCACTTATGTGTAACTAAATTGCTTTTCTCTGGCTTTTTTAAGGATTCTCTCTTTATCTTTAATTTTTGACGTTTTAATTATAATGTGTCTTGGTGTAGATCTCTAGATTCATCTTGTTTGGGACTCTCGTGCTTCCCAAACCTGGATGTCTGTTTCCTTCCCCAGGTCATGAACATCTTCAACTGTAATTTTTTCAAATAAGTTTTCTGACACTTTCATTTCTTCCTTCTACTAATGAAACCCCTATATGTAATGCGAATGTTAGTATGCTTGATGTTGTTTCAGGGATTTCTTAAACTTTACTTATTTATTTAAATTATTTTTTCTTTTTGTCATTCAGTTTAGGCAATTTCCATTACTCTGTCTTCTAGATTGCTGATCCATTCTTCTGTGACATCTATTCTGATCTTTATTCCCCCTAATGTATTTTTCAGTTCTGTTATGATATTCTTCAGCTCTGATTGGTACTTTCTTATATTTTCTCTCTCCTTGTTCAAGTTCTGTGTTCATCCATTGTTCTCACAAGTTCAGTAAGCATGTTTATAACCATTAACTTTGACCTCTTTATCAAATAGATTGTTTATCTCTATTTGTTTAGTTCTTTTTCTGAGGTTTTGTCTTGTTCTTTTGAACATATTTCTCTGTCTCCTCATTTTGCCTACCTCTCTGTGTTTATTTCTATGTATGAGGCATTTCAGCTATCTCCCGGTCTTGAAGGAGTGGTTTTATATATGAGATGTCCTATGGGGCCCAGAAGTGAAATCCTACCTGGCCACCAGAGCCATCTATAATTGTGTAGTTTCCCTATAATTGTGTAGTTTTTTCCAGACATACTCTCTGTTAGTTTTCAAAGCCAGCTACTTGGGGGGCTTGTCCCTCTCATGTAGGATCTAAGGGTTGGACTGCCTGATATGGAGGCAACCCACATCAGCAAAATCTCTTGCTTTTAAGGGACAAATATCATACCTTTGAGATCCTTCTCAACCATGGAACTTCCTCCCTAGAGTTCTTTTCCTTATTGAGACTGTTTCTCTGCCTCTTCCATCCATTTCAGTGCTGCCCTCTGTTGTGGAGATTCTGTTCATCTAGTTTCTAGGTCTTCGTGTTGTAGTTGTAGATTCATTATGTCCATGGGTGGAGCTGAGCTCAGGATCTTCCTACACTACCATCTTGAACCTTGATCAAGTTTTAGTCTTATTATTAAACAAGTGGCACCTAAGTTACTTATTTTGTAGTTTATCAGTAAGTGTATGAAAGCTTATGATAACAAATCTTTCTTTGTGCTATAATTAAAAAACTATTAGAAACAGGCTTAGGACTTTTTAAAAGATATCACATTGTATCATTACATTAATGCTCTTTTTTTCAGTGTGATGATTTGTATCGCAGCTTCAGTGGAATTCTCCATTTGTGCAAAAATGTATTTATATGAATGAAGTATTTTGTATGATATGAATACAAACAATTTCATGCCTTAACAATTCAAAAGTCAGTTCAGATTCTATCTCAGGTGTGTTTGCTTTGTTTGAGGTGTTTGTTGAGGTAAACTTAATTACCTGTTGAAATTCTTTTGCACATAAGTATTTCTGCAATGGTATAGATGTGCTCTATGTTAATTGGAGTGAAGGTATAAGAAAGCAGAGAATGTGGAGCTCACCCCACAGTAGATAAGATGGACAAGGACATATGGGATAACTTTTTCCAAGTTTCCTATTGCCAATGCTATTAAAAACTACTAAAAATACTTTCTTATAAATATAGCAAGATTTCAATGTTGTTGTTTATATTTGTGGTTATTCTAGTCTGTAGGGAGCAAATATATATTCATCTTAGAGCAAATGACTCTAAAATCTTGATAATTTAATTTTTTTACTCCATCTTATAAAACTACATAAGAAAGATACATCAGCTTTTCAGACTGCTGAGAGCTGAGTGGAACCAAGTTAAGTCTGGGAATCTGTCATTTATCTTGTTCATTCATGATTTGCCAAGTGTAAGTAGACTTCATTATCTTTTAGTGTGAGTTCTCCAAATTCAAATCTATATACTGAGAATTATTGTGGAAGCAAACTTTGTCAGATAAGGTAAAACACCATCAAATAAATTAAGTCAGCATGGTTTTTTATTTGTTTGTATATATAACTGGTTAAATTAGTACTTAAACATGGATAGGAAGCTAGCCCTCCTTCTGTAGCTCCCTTCTCAATGTGCAGTTTGCTTGTGATTTTTAGGTAGTCTCCAGCTGCTCCTGCTTCAGGGTGGCATTGAGGCTGCACCTTAAATTTCCCACCTGCTTCCAATCTTTTGAGCTTTATCTGTGCCGTAAGACTTGTAGCTATTTTTTATGTTAATTATTACTCACAAAAGTTAATTAAAGAGCTACAACTGAAGGAAAGAACTCAACTGACTGATTGAGAGGAAATGTTTTTAAGTGTCTAGAGTAGAGTACTCTAATATAATTCAGGAATTCTTGTCTTCATGTTTAATTTTACCATTAGATTCCTCTAGGATTCAGTTCATACACTTTCTTTAACTGTAAAATGCTAGGCAGTTTCTTTTCACAAAATTCATGAATTCTTCACATGACAACTGAATGGTAATCTTGTTTTATCAACACTACCAGACTTTCAAAAGCATGAGATTGCCCCTACCGCTGGGGTGGAACTCAAGTCTGTGGAATTATTACTTTTTACGTATCATCTGAAAAAAAGTATTCGTCTAAACAAATGAATGTTTCAGTCAACAAAATTGAGGATTTTAAATGAGATTTTCTATGTGCATAAGTCACTTCTTTGACTGTCCATAAATAAAATATGAATTGCATTTTAAAACTGGTTTATGTATAAAAACAATTTTTTTAATTTATTGATCTTTGAGAGACAGAGAGAGATAGAGCATACGTGGGGGAGGAGCAGAGAGAGAGGGAGACACAGAGTCCGAAGCAGGCTCCAGGCTTCGAGCAGTCAACACAGAGCCTGAGGCGGGGCTCGAACTCACAAACCGTGAGATCATGACCTGAGCCGAAGTCAGACACCCAACCGACTGAGCCACCCAGGTGCCCCTTATTTATGTATAGATATGAAACTATTACCTGTGTTTTTATGCAAGCAGTCTGCCCCCAGTAGAGTAATGCTTTGTATACAACATGGAGAGTATTTTTTCTGGATAAATTTGATCAGAAGACTAAAGTGAAAGTTTTAGTAAATAGTCATAAATAAAAGCTATTCTTGAATGAAAAGTATATAATAGTTTTCAAAGCATAATATCTATTTAATACTATTAAAATCAACATGTTAATACACATTGCCCATTTTAAACTAACCCTCATTGTAAATACAAATCAAAAGACTTGTCCTACCATCTGAATTTGTACCTAACCTGTAGACTTGAACTTGATCAGTATTCACAGAAAATACTGACTTTTGTGACCCACAGAGCAGTAACATTGAGAGCATTACCCCCAATTACCAGCCAGAAGATGTACACAGCACCTTCTGACATCTAAAACCCTGTTTTCTTACAGAGTTCGTGATCTTTATCAGTTCTGCATTGCTCCTCTTTCCTTGCCAAAATGGTTGGTTCCCCAGTACAATTTGAGTTGGACCACACTTATCTATCTACAAAGAAACATTGCAGGGAAATGTTTGGGGATTGGGGAAAAAAAGAGAAATCTGTTTTTAACATTGGGACAGTTTGGTTCTAGATTCCAAGATTAAAAGGAAGAACTTGCTGGCCACAACTTTGTAGACTTAATGACTTTCTGGTTTGACTTCCAACATGTTTCTAAATTTCAGTCTTTCCTCAAACAGCTTTAAAAGTAGATCTACTTTAAAATAATGATTACTTTCATGTAGTTTTCTTGTTCCTCTCTTGCCTGTTTCTGTACTTTCTTAAGGACAGCATTCTTTGCCATTCTTAGTCCACTCTTGGTTTTCAAAATACTTTCATTTAATTTTCTATGAAAATCTCTATTTTTCTGAGAAATAGTTTGGTTAGAAGAAAGACCGATAGTGTTAAAAGCTGTAATTTAGTAGATAACATAATATTGACAAAGAAAATGCTTTTCCTTAATAGGAAAATGTTATCTTTTGAAGGACAGTAAGACTTAAGTTATGCCTTTTTTCATATAATATGTGCAGTCAGAATTATTTCCTGATTTTTTTTTAACTTTTTTACAGTCCCAGTGGGTCTTTGTTATCTTGCTTGGAGCAGGTTAAAACATACCTGCTTACTGACGGAACATGCAAGTGTGGCTTGGAATGTCCTCTTATTCTTCCCAAGGTAACCATTTCACAACACATCTATTGGCCATTTTGTTTTTTGTTTTTTTAGGTGTTTCATATATTTTTCTCATCTGGCATTTCATTTGTATATTACTTCTCCAATCATATATGCATTTTAAAGTCTTTATCTAATTAGATATCTTTTGCATGCACTCTGGAATGCTTAAAATTGTAGAAAATGGTTCAAGTCCCAGTCATTTTCAAAGGTGACAAACCTATATTCATATTAAATATTTCACCAAAATCTTTTTAGCACCTTTTCATTTGAGCTATACCCATGCCCATTATTTAATAGCGCAATATTTTCTTCCTTACTATAACTACTCAATCTGCAATATTATTTTTTGCATGAGTGTTGATAAATCTGCCACAAATACTTTTAAAATCACAAAGCTGCCCCTCTGAGCCAAAAGTAAAACTGTTTTAGTCCTTTGCAAGGTAAAAAAAATACAGTTATTTTTAATGACAAAGTATTATTTTAGAGTAGAATAGAAACAGGACATTGTTCTCTGAATATCTATTATGTGCTAATTTTAGAACTAAAGATTAATAGACCACTTTTTCCTTTTATTTGTCACCTCATTCCACACACACATACCGCCACAAAGCATTGGAAACAGCCTATCAATATATACACAGCAAGTAAGATTTTTTTAAAATATAGTAATGGACTTTTTAAATCCATGAAAAAGTAATATTAATATAGTAATTAAATAAAGCCAAAGAAAATGTTAGCATGTAGAAATGTCAGCTTTTAGGGTTGTTGTTGTTTTTGTTTTTGTTTTTAACTATACCTCATCTGTTTTTGTACTGTTATAACATCAGGAAGTATCTAAAATTAAAAACATTATCAGGTATTATACCTTTCCATATACTTACCTTGGCTATCTTAGAATTAGGATAATTTGCATTATTTACTTTATCACTAAAAACCATGAGTCCAGCAGAAGTATTTATTATATTATATATAAAACTGTTTTTCTTAAATTTAAAAACTCAAGACACTTTTATTCAGATATATGCCCTAATCTATGCAAAACTTTTTTTTTGATGATAAGATTTTTTTAATCTGATGTTTTTACAGACATATTCTAACAGAAGCTGTGCTTTTTCCAGGTGTTTAATTTCGATCCTGGAGCTGCTGTGAAACAGAGAACCGCAGAAGATGTTAAAGCAGATGAAGATGTCACAAAGCTATGCATACATAAAAGAAAAATCATTGCAGTGGCCACACTTCATAAGAGCATGGAAGCCCCACATCCTTCTCTGGTGCTCACCAGTCCTGGGGGAGGAACAAGTATGTAATACGGTGAAGGGTTTAGAAATTTGCCTCTGCAACTTCTCTCCCAGAAGAGTCACTGGAAATCACTTTGCGAAGCATTTTCTGAGTCCCCTTTTAAAACATACACAGTGCTTCTAAAGTTGTCTGTGTTTTATCATTTTTTTTTTACAGATAGCAAATTAGTTCTGAAAAATTCCTACAAAGTTGTTTCCCCACATTTCCTATTTAAATCCTTGAGTTAACTGAGCAGAATAAACACCAATTAGCACATCCAAATGCTGTGCAAGTATGTAGAGCTGAGCTCACAAAATAGAAGGTGCCATCGGTTTTTAGGAAACAAAAGTCACCTTTTTGCTAGAGCTGGAATGGATGTGGTTTCAAGTCCTCCCCCACAAGTAGCAATATCATCCAGAGTGTTGTTCTTTCAGTCACTGAATAGCTATTTATTGAACACCTACTAAGAGAAGTCACTTTGTCAGGAACTTTTTATACCTCCACCAAACACACACACACACACACACACACACACACACACACACGCTTTTATTTTTTTTTTAATTTAAAACGTGCAGAAAAATTACATAAACAGTTCACCAAGCACTCATATACCCTTTGCTCAGATTCAACAATTAACATTTTGTGGCAAAAGTTGCAATTATTCTGACAGTTCATCTCTAAAGATTTCAAAACACATAGATGTTCTCCTATATAAACCACAATCTAATTATCACATTCAAAAAATTTAACACTGATGATAATATTATTATCTAAAATGCAGTGTATATTCTAACTGCTCCAGTTGTCCTAATAATTTCTTACAGTTTTTTAAACCCAGGATGCAATCAAAGATTGTACAACTGCATTAACTTTTTACACTTCTTTAATCTACACCAATTTCCCAGTCTTTTGAAATCTATTTTTGAAGAGTCTGGGTCAGTTTTACAGGTGTTTCTCATTTCAGATATGCCTGATTGTTTCCAGATATTTATTCATACTCAGGTTAAACACAGTTTGGTAGAAATACTGCATAGGTAATGTTATGTCCTCATTAGAAGGCACATATGTCAGTTTATCCCATATTGATGACATTAAGTTCGAGTGCTTGGATAAAGTTAGGTATATCCAATTTCTCTGTTGTTAAGGTAACTCTTCCCTTTATAACTAATATGTAGTTTGTGGAATTACACTTTGAGACTGAGGAACTTTTTTTTTGTATGGGTTAGGATATGAACTCCTTCCAAAATATTACAATATTTTGAATGATATTTCAAGATAAAATATGGCTGAGCACCAAAGCATTTGTTTATGAAGGCAAATTATACATTGTTCTGCAGAGTTCTGAAAATTAGGGATGATACGTATAACCTGCAGTGATCAGAGAAATCTTTAGCCCTGGAAAATGGTAAGATTTGGACATATGAGGGAAATAAGAAAATTCTTATTCAGGATGAGTGGTGCGTAATTAAGAGACGATGTGGAAACTAGTCTGACTTGAGTGGAAGATTAAACCTGCATAAGTAAGTTGGGACCAAATTACTGACAGCTTTAGATACAAAGAGGAACAGTTGTGACATCATACAGGTAATTAAAGATTCACACTTAGAACTCATGTGAAGAGAGTAGGAAGAGACAAATTTGGCAGTTATTAGCAGAGAGCTCTTCTTCAAGAACCCTCTAACCTTTGAACTTTAACAGGAATGATCAGAAAAAAATTGTTCCACAAAGGTATGTAAGAAAAAAAAATTAGGAATTTTTTTTCTCTTAATGAGCTACATTTTCTTAAACTAAAAGATATTGCAACAATTAAAAGACCTATTTAATAGTAATAAATTATTTGAAGTATACCATTATCTTGCCACCTTGATATAACTGTTCTCATTTTTGCATATCACCCTGCATATATCTGCTGCCGCTCTCATATCACATTATATCAATTTTACCTCTTTCTACAAAGTCTGCCTTGTTGCTTTTTTAATGACCCTAGTAGTATCTTTTTTTTTTTTTAATTTTTTTTCAACTTTTTTTTATTTATTTTTGGGACAGAGAGAGACAGAGCATGAACGGGGGAGGGGCAGAGAGAGAGGGAGACACAGAATCGGAAACAGGCTCCAGGCTCCGAGCCATCAGCCCAGAGCCTGACACGGGGCTCGAACTCACGGACCGCGAGATCGTGACCCGGCTGAAGTCGGACGCTTAACCGACTGAGCCACCCAGGCGCCCCTGACCCTAGTAGTATCTTGATCTAGGTCCTTTGTCATACCCTATACATACAAATTTCATTATTGAAATTAAACGTAAATCTTTAACTAGTACAGGTATAAGAGGTGTATCTCCATCCGCTTTTAAAACGATATGCTTTATGGGGTGTCTGGGTGGCTCAGTCAGTTAAGCGTCCCACTGTTGATTTTGGCTCAGGTCATAATCACATGGTTGATGACACTGAGCCCCACATCGGGCTCTGTACTGGCAGCATGGAGTCTGCTTGGAATTCTCTCTCTTTCTCTCCTCTCTGCCTCACCCCTGCTTGCTCACTCTCTCTCTCTCTCTCAAAATAAATAAACATTTTTTAAAAAACCTAAAACCTCTGCTTTTAAAAAATGATATGCTTTATTGGATTAGTTGCTATTCTTTCACTAGCTTCAGACATAGTGTTTATTTCAAATTCCTAATATTGAACTATATTATGGGGTTGGGATTTAAGTAATTAAAAGTTAAGAAGACTCATATAGTAGTTTACATCTCTCTTTATTTTGCATGCATAAGGGTATATTTGGTTTCTGTTTATTCTTTTGAAAGGTCTACTTGAGTGTATATGAAAACACTTGATGAGTGCCTAGCATTTCTATTTGCCAATTCTTATACTACTTAATTCCTAAACGTAACATAACGTCAGCATGACTTTTGTTTGTTTATTCAGTATTCCTGTCATTTTAAAGATGGTAACTCTTTTTCCCCAGGTATGGAAGACATCCTTTCTAAACCACAGCTGTTTTCTAAATTCTGTTGAATATAAGGATGCCAACGTCTGTATATTGTATAAACTGTACACTGTATAAACACCCAGAACAGACACAACTCAGTGGTTTTGTTACTAAAGAAGACACAGTTAATCATATAATAATGCTAGTGATGTTAATACAGACACCTGTGTTCTCACTAGATGCTATGTGCAATGCTCCAAGTATTTTTCATTATTTTATTCCTTTAATTATAAACCTTAAAATTCTGTCTTTAACAAGAAAATAAGTTGACTTTATCGGCTGCAATTCTCTTATATCATTAGTTCTCAACTTTTCATATATTATATGCATAAACCACTTTATCAAATAATCTCTACCATACTAGAAATAGAAAGCCCACTTTTCCAAGAAAACTATATGTTCACTGCATTCTCTTATTTCTTTAATATACCCTGCCTAGTCTTCACTTTACCCCAGATTGATAACCACAGTCTTAGAAATTGTTATGATGTAATTTGACCTATATATGATCTAGCAGACAGGAAAAGGGTATTTATCTTAAGTCTACAGTTATCCATTTAAGTAAAGATACCTCTAATTGCAAGTGGATCCAAGTATACTTGCTAATATATTGCAAGTCTCGGAATTGCGGTGGCCAGTTTATGGTATACGTGGGACCACTTTCATCTCCTGTGCCTGTAAGACTCATTGGCATTTTCTCACAGAGCCCAGTGGAGTTTGACATCTTTCTACATAGCTCTCTAAGCAGCCACCACCAGTTGATGGGAATTGGCATACGAAACTGATTTTATTTGCCATCTCTGTTTTAAAAGGCACAATTTTATAAATAGTTAAACATCCTTAGGGGCTAAAAAACTTACACTTAGACTTCGGACATGATAAAATGAAAATTCTGTGTGATGAGCCAGCTTGCTTTTGTTGCCTATATTCTGTCTGATCTCCAAAGGAACTGAAGGGATTCCAAAAAGCCAGAGAGGGAGCGATGCTTTCTGCAAAAAGAGAATACTCGATTGGAACCCAGTACTGAAGATTTTAGCATTCTGAGTAAATTTTGCATTGGAATTCCAGCCTAGTAAAAGAATTGCAATCTTTTGCCTAAGTTGGTTGACTAAGGCTGTTTTTACAATAACAGCTGATCAAGGGCAAAGAAATTGCAGTGTTGGATAGTGTTACAAACTTGATGAAGTTAAGCGTGATTGCAGTATCACTGCCCTCACTATTGTTATCACTCCCATTTTAAAAGATTCAAAACCCCATCCCCTTAATTCACAAAAATTAAGACTCTTTTGCTCTCACAGTAAAAATGGTGAGATAAGGAAGAGTTTTTGTAGCTGTCCTGAGGAAGTTTCAGTAAGGAAACAGAAAGATTTATAGGGTAACACACTTTCTGGTGAAAATGGCCGTGCATTTAAATTATAAGGAACTATGCTATGCAGATTTTAATTTTCTGATGTAACCCTGTTCTTAAAAAATTCAAACCCAACAAGATAGTAACATTGCCACTTCTGTATGGGCTGTCAATCTTGAATCTTCACATTATAAATATTATTAGGATGGCTAATGTCAGTATGTACTGATTCAGATCCCCATCCTTTCTCAACAGATAAGAAGTAAACAAGCACAATGAGCAGTTATTGAGAACTTTTGGTCAACTAAGGGAGAATAATGTGCATTTTTTTTCCATCAAAGTTTATTTTAGAGTACAGAACTTTTTTTTAATCGCATAGAGTCACAGCTTCTTTTTGAAAATTTCTATTTCCAGATGCCCTCCCTTCCTCATTTCCTCCTTTCCTTCCCTCCCCCCATGCCAACACAAAAGAATTGAGACTACTAACAGAATTCGTTTTTTCTCTCTCTCTCTTTCACACCAGATGCAACTCCAGTAGTACCTTCTCGGGCAGCAACTCCAAGATCTGTAAGAAATAAGTCGCATGAAGGAATTACAAATTCTGTAATGCCTGAATGTAAGAATCCTTTCAAGTTAATGATTGGATCATCCAATGCCATGGGAAGGCTATATGTACAAGAACTGCCTGGAAGCCAGCAACAAGAACTCCACCCCATCTACCCCCGGCAGAGACTGGGCAGCAGTGAACACGGACAGAAATCTCCATTCCGTGGCAGCCATGGAGGCCTCCCCAGCCCAGCATCATCAGGTTCCCAGATATATGGAGATGGCTCAATCTCTCCAAGGACTGACCCACTTGGAAGCCCTGATGTTTTCCCAAGAAATAATCCTGGTTTTCATGGAGCTCCCAATTCTAGTCCTATTCATCTAAATAGGACTCCTCTTTCTCCACCTTCAGTAATGCTACACGGTTCTCCCGTACAGTCATCCTGTGCAATGGCTGGAAGGACTAATATACCTCTTTCCCCAACCTTGACTACAAAGAGTCCAGTAATGAAAAAACCAATGTGTAATTTTTCAACTAATATGGAAATACCACGAGCAATGTTCCACCACAAACCACCCCAAGGCCCACCTCCCCCTCCTCCACCTTCTTGTGCTCTTCAGAAAAAGCCATTAACATCCGAGAAAGATCCACTTGGCATTCTTGACCCTATTCCCAGTAAACCGGTGAATCAGAACCCTGTTATCATTAATCCAACTAGTTTCCATTCAAATGTCCACTCTCAGGTACCTGTGATGAATGTAAGCATGCCTCCTGCTGTTGTTCCTTTGCCAAGTAATCTCCCTTTGCCAACCGTAAAACCTGGTCATATGAATCATGGGAGTCATATACAAAGAGTTCAGCATTCAGCTTCAACCTCCCTGTCCCCTTCTCCAGTGACATCCCCAGTGCACATGATGGGGACTGGAATTGGAAGGATTGAGGCATCGCCCCAAAGATCACGCTCATCTTCCACATCATCAGATCACGGAAATTTCATGATGCCACCTCTAGGACCCCAGGCCACTTGTAGTGGTATTAAGGTTCCACCCAGGTCACCAAGGTCAACAATAGGGTCCCCAAGGCCATCAATGCCATCAAGCCCTTCTACCAAGTCCGATGGACACCATCAGTACAAGGATATCCCTAACCCATTAATTGCTGGAATGAGTAATGTACTAAATTCCCCAAGCAGTGCAGCTTTTCCGACTGCATCTGCCGGAAGTGGTTCCATAAAGAGTCAGCCTGGTTTGCTGGGAATGCCTTTAAATCAGATCTTGAACCAGCACAATGCTGCCTCCTTTCCAGCAAGTAGTTTACTCTCAGCAGCAGCCAAAGCACAGCTAGCAAATCAAAACAAACTTGCTGGTAACAACTGTAGCAGCAGTAGCAATTCTGGAGCTGTTGCTGGCAGTGGCAACACTGAAGGACCTAGCACTTTAAACACCATGTTCACTCCTACTGCCAACATGCTTCTCCCAACAGGGGAAGGGCAAAGTGGTCGAGCAGCACTAAGAGATAAGCTGATGTCTCAGCAAAAAGACTCATTGCGGAAAAGAAAACAACCACCTACCACAGTGTTGAGTTTGCTCAGACAGTCTCAAATGGATAGTTCTGCAGTTCCTAAACCTGGACCCGACTTGCTAAGAAAGCAGGGTCAGGGTTCATTTCCCATCAGTTCAATGTCTCAGTTACTACAGTCTATGAGTTGTCAAAGCTCTCACTTGAGTAGCAATAGTACCCCGGGTTGTGGGGGCTCAAATACTGCTTTGCCTTGCTCTGCTAACCAGCTGCATTTTACAGATCCCAATATGAACTCCAGTGCTCTTCAGAATTCACTGACACAGAACATACCTTTGAGAGGGGAAGCCGTGCACTGCCACAATGCAAACACTAACTTTGTTCACAGTAACAGCCCAGTCCCAAACCACCATCTTGCAGGTTTAATAAATCAGATTCAGGCTAGCGGGAACTGTGGGATGCTCAGTCAGTCGGGCATGGCTTTAGGAAATTCATTACATCCCAATCCACCTCAGTCAAGAATTTCAACGTCCTCCACTCCAGTGATACCAAACAGCATTGTTAGCAGCTATAATCAAACAAGTTCTGAAGCAGGTATGGTTTTATTAGAAAAAAGTACCCCAAGGTACTAAACTTTTCTACGTTTTTTAAAATTTGTACCAAAATATTTATTATGATAAGAAATGATCCTTTCCCCATTGTGAAATTGTCATCATTTCTTTAGTATTTATAATTTTATTTACAGAATGCTAGGGATTTGTCTAATAGAAAAAATAACAACCAAGGGGATTCCATGTGTTTCCGTTACTTGTTGTCAATCTGTCATTTTGAATTTTGTTTGACTTTCGGTTGGTTGTATAACCATTGGACTCTAAACTACAAAAGAAGCCATAGAAGGCAGGGTTTCCTGGTTCATGAGACATGTACTCGGTCTATGCCAATAGAAAAGCGTTTCCCCTAGCTTTTGTTTGTATTCAGGTAAATGATGCTCATCTTGGAAAACCCAAAAAGGCAAAAATAAACAGAATTTTTGTTCTTGCTGCTGACCAGAAATAGGTAAATGGATAGGAAAGGTAACTAGAAGTTGTATGAAGTAGAAAGCTGCCTTCTAATGTGTTTTCTTATCTTAGTTTGCTATCCTTTATTATTATTTGTTGAGAAAATTCAAAAATGGATATTGGCTACTCCCTTTAAAAAAAAAGATAATAATTTAAGTTTTCTAATAAAAAAGGCTTGAAAACCTGATTTCCAGAATTTTTGATCTTGAAATTATTTTACAGTTTTCTTGTAGAATTTAGCCATTATTTTTACCATTGACATTAAGGTTTTGAACCCAAATTTATTATATCTCTTCATCCACTATAATGAAGGAGACCAATTTATTTAAAAGTAGACACATTAGAAAGAACTGTGTTTTGTGCAATAGGGTCATCAGAAATTGTTATAAAAATCAGTAAAGAAGCACTAAAGAGGTAAATTCATGGAGGCATCAGAAAATTTCACCATGGAAGTATTTCAGAAAGAATACCCAAAACCCAACACTAATGGTTTGAGAGATTTGTAGGAAATGACAGGGAGGAAACAAAAGATAACTGTAGAGACAATATTATTCAGATATGAATACAACGGGCTTTGAAAACCAGATTGCTACTGGAAATGAGAAAACTGCTGAGGCTTTTAATAACAAGATATTGTTTGGATATGTATAGACTGTATTCTACCGTCATGCTGGAAGAGCATTAGAACCTACATGTCTCTGTTGCTGGTAGTAACATTGAGTGTTTTTCCTTCCTGGCATCACTTCTTTACACCTGCCATCCTCCACAACTTGTGCTGTTTTATGTTTTGATGTCAGTATTTAATGAACTGTTCATTGACCTCTTGTGTTAAAAAGAATATAAGGTGGAGAAGATAATTGAAACGATTAGTGCCTTCTAGATATTCTTAGTCTAAAGAATCTCATGAAACTATTTTTTATGTGTTTAACAGGATACTTGTTCCAAAGGGGCTTCCAACTTTTCAATGACTCATATACCTTTTTAAATAATTCCACAAAAGTGAAAATTTAACCTTATGCTTTTAGCAGATGAAAGTGACATGAAATCAGTAACTATTTTAAAATATACCATATTTATTAAGCATGCCTTCAATCATTTAGATGAGACATTATTAGTCTCGTTGTATTATATATCTTTACGTTTTGATACCCCTTACCTCAACTTACTTTGTTTCAGGTCTGAGTTAATATTGCAAAGTGTATATATTTTATTAATGATGTATTTCAATTCATCCGTAATGGAAAAGACCAACATTTATTTATATTTTTGTTTCTTCTGAATGTTCAGTTTAGACTTATTTTATATGGTCTCGGACATGTATTTTCTTGTTCCATGAACCTCTGTAAAGCATCAGATCTGGATTGCCAGTGCTGGGAGTGTCAAACACAGGTTGAAAATTTATTAATCTAAGAAAAGTGTTAGCATATAAGTAGCTAAATTGTACAAGAATAAATGTCTAGTAATGATATGGATTTGACCAATCATGTGTAAGCTAACAGAAAGCATATACTTTGATAAAAAATCTAGGTCAGTAAGAAGTTTTAAAATATTAAACCTAATAAAATTAAATACTAATTAAAGTACATAGATCTGATGTGCAGCTGGTTGTGAAAATGGGTAGATTTACTAATTACTGTAACTCTTTTGATGAGCTGAATATTGAAAACGTCTCTAATTCCATGTTTCTTTTTGATACACAGTAAACTGTGTCAACTGAATGCACTGTCGTTATAATTGCTTAGCCTAAATATTTATTTGCACTGACATTTATTCATCCATGAAATAAGTAGCAAGGCTAGGCATGCAGAGTGAGCTAGCAGGTGGCAGTCACAGCTATCCCTATAATCTCTGCTACGTAGCCCTAGCATACCAATAAGACATTGGAAGAAAAATACATTTTACTCTTAAAATGTTGCTTATAGCTATCATAGCTATCGAGTACTTATGACGTGCCAAGTGATTTACCTATGTTATTTCTAATCTGTGTAGTTCTCTAAAGTATAAGGTATTATTGCCCCCATTTTACACATGAGTAACTGAACTTCAGAGAATTTAAATAATTGACCAAACTCGTGCATAACTGAATTAAAATTTGAACTCAGGTTCATCTGATTGTAAAATCCATTTTCTTCCCAGCTGTGTAAGTTCTTCATCTAAAAACTTCAGTAGTCAAAAAAACTTTGAATGTTTCACTTTCAAAATTTTTAAAAATACCCAACAGATAATACATTAAAACACATCAGTGCATGTTACAAGCCACATTTGTAAACTTTTGATGCACTTTTAGACAAAGGTCAGTGATTTTTGCCTTCTCTCTGTACTCTGATGCTAGGATGTTGTGTCAACACAGATGAAATGTCCAAACTGTCAAGAGAAATGCCCCTCATTTGTGAGTCACATTTGTTGACCTTCATTTTAATGAATTTGTATCACCTCATTCAATCAGATAAGAATGGGTTTCCTACTGGGCGATGTGTCAGTAGACCTTTGAAGGAGGCACCTATGCAGATGCTAGTTCTGCCCTTCCGAGCATGACAACACAGTGAAGGTGAAAGAAACCCACAGGTAACATAGTGCTACTCTTCTCTCTGGTAACGGAGCCCGGACACAACTCAAGTAACCTGCTTACTCCAGTGCCTTTTCCACTCTCCTAAGCAACTCAAAAATGTTACAGTAAGACTTTAAGAGGAGAAATCACTCGCTCTGAGAACACTTAATTTGATTGGTTATTTATTGTCAGAAACTTATTTTAAAGAGTTTTTCTATTATAAACAACCCGGATACTGATTTTTTTAGGCCTACATGTGGATTCCATGGGAAACATTTAAAATTGTATCACATCTCAAATATGGGAATTGGAGGCTGAGATAAAAAAAAAAATCAGGTAAAAGATATAAAATGCTTAGAAAATATTTCTAAAATTTAAGACTATGCAAGGTTTTATTAATTCTATTTGCTGTTTTGAAATTGCCTTTCCATTAAAGCTCTCTGAACACTTTCATCGTAAAGTTTACAGGTTTCTGTTCACTTTTTGGATTTCAAATTACAAGTAAAGCTTAGTATCTCCATGTAACAGATTTAGAAAATGACCAGTAGGATCCTTGCTGACATTCCTCAAGTTGTAAAGCCAAGCCTGGCTGGGTCTGGCAAACCAAACCCCAAAGTTCTGATTCTCAGTTCAAATACTCAAACTGTTGAATGCAGGTATGTTCTGAAATCCATCAGTAGTGTCCATTTAAAGCAACTTTCCATTTATGAAGAGAGCCAACTTTCAGCATTTAAATGGTTCCAGCACATGTCCTGTGGGGTTTTTGTTCAGGGAGGAATCCCAAATCAGGTGCCCTTGACTGGCAAATGTTATCAGGCCTGCGCCTCCTCAGTTTTCTGACCGCTGCTCACCTGCTGACCATAGAACAAGATCACACACGCCAGTAACCCTGGCCTCTGCAGAGGACCAAGTCCTGTCAGTGTCCCTGGGACAACTTATCCCTTCCGTAGCCCTGTGGTTTTTCACAATTTCAAAGAAGCAAAAAGATTGAGACTACTCTGCTAACCAACTTAATAACAACCTTACCTTCTCCAATGTGATAGTCATTAAATACAACTTTTTCACTTCAAAACCCCTTTTATATTCTTTTTTTTTTCTAGTAAAAAACATTTAATCAACTCCTCTAAACACAGGAAAATAGAATCCTCTGAAGAGGAAGAGTATGAGTTTGTACCAGAAGAGAAAATAATTCATTTATTTGCCTTAACTCTTAAAGAGATACACTGACTAACAAGAATATAAATAAACCTATGAATAAATATATGTTCACGGATATTTATATATATATTTTAAAAACTCTGGAAAAGAAAGTGTTTTTTCTTTCAGCACAAAAAGCATGTGATTGAAACTCAGTACAGCCATTGATATGGTAGGTATAAGAAAATGAAATAGAGACCACAAAAGAACACTTTAGGTAACAGACTGCAAAGCAATGAGCTTGGTGTTATGTTCTATGTATTTATTTATTCTCAGAACATGCCAGTAAAGAAAATAAAGGGAAACTGTCATTCCCTACATTTGAAGTTACAGGTGCAAAGAGAATATGGGATAAAAATGTTCACGGATGGATTGTACTATGTAAGTTATTAGCCCTCTCAGGATATGTGACGTTTGTGTGGAAATAATCTTCTAGTCTTACAGAGACTAATGTAGAGTGAAGAAGGGCAAAGGCTCCTTTAAGGTTGTGAATGAATTACTAATAGTTGCTATTGACAGTATTTGCAACCAAACATTAAATGCCTAGAATTTATCCCTCCTCTGATGCACAAGGCTTCTAGGTTAAAAGTTGCCTTCTGCTTTGTTTTTTAGCCAATACCAAAACTCTATTAAATTCTTGATTGTGTGATAAAAATCTATGTCTGTTCTTTCAGTTAAGTTTTTGCAAAATGAGCCATTTCTTCTTTGCTGTAAGATATTTTTACAACAATGTCTTGCTGTTTAAGAAGGTTTCCTATTATCAGGGTTACACCACTTGTTTGTTTACATAT